AGAGCTTTGTCCTGAGCCCAGCAAAGACCTAGATGGTGGAAGAAATCAGCATCAGTTTTGTGGATGACTCAAAACCAGAAGGACTAGCTAGTACAGAAAACTCAGAAGACAGGAATAATCTAGATGACCTTGACAGAATGAAAAAGTGAGCCCAACCTAAACAACAGAAATTCCACACACACACATACACATGGGAAAAACCAAATGCTCAGGTCTAGTGATTCTTGGCCTGGCAGTTGTAAATGTGCAAAGGATCTCAGGATTGTAAATCACAACTTACATGAGTCAGTAGTATGATGAAGTGAAAAGAAAGTAGTGTGAAAAGAAAAGACCTACAATTTAAGACAGCACTAATAGAACCAGTTTCCACATCACAAGTAGTAATAGTTTAGCATGACTTTTCACTAGTCTGATCTCACTGGGAGTTTTGGGTACCGTGCCTTAAAGAGTAGGAAGAGAAATTGGAACAGGTTCAGAGGAGAGTAACAAAGACAGCGAGTAATATGGAAAACATGCCCAATGAGGAAAGCCTGAAAGGCTGGGTATGTTTAGCCTGGAGAAGAGAAGATTGGCGGGGGGGGGGGGCTGGGGGACAGCCCTCTTCAATATTTAAAGGGCTACAGAAGAGGTCAGAGACTAGTTACCTGCTGCCTAGATCTAATGAACTTATGTTACTGAAGGGTACATTTCACTGAACATTAAGAGAATCTTCTTAAAGTTAAGAGCAGTTGGAAGAGCAAACATTACTGGGGGTGGTGGAGACTTTCCCTCGCTGGACATCTTCAAGGAGAGGTAAATAGCAATCCACTGAGAGATGTTTTGGCACTGGACATCGTCCATCTGGAAGAGGCTAGACAGCAACTCTGTGGTTCTATATTTATAACAATATTCTTATTTATCAACCACACAGTGTAGAAGTTGTACAATAATATAGTAATTAAGACAAGTCCTGCCCACCTACTTGAAAACTAAAATCATCAGTTCCATCCAGGAGTACAGGGCACATCGAGCTTTTCTACATGAGGCCATTAATCTGCTGTACCTACTTTCAGTTTTGACCCAGAATTGAGATCCATGCTCTACATGAAGAACATTTCCTTTCCTGCCTTTCTGTTACATCACTTCTAAGTGACACTGCAATACAGTGTAACAGTGCAAATACACAATGCCCTTCCTTTGGTTTCTGTATTTCCTGAAAACACAGACATTGTGCATTTCTTTACTTTGAAAGGACTCACCAAATGTGCTGTTTAGACACAGAGGCAAAACCATGATCCTGCAGAGGCAAAACCATGATCTAGTGATCCTGCAAACAACCATGTTTAAGGAATAACCAGGATGTGATAAATGTCTCCTACATCGTTGTTTTAATTGTCTTTTAAATATTGTAAGCTGTCCTGAGATTGTATAATTGGACTGCATACAAAAGGTTTTAATAAATAAATAAATACAGAAAAGCCCATAAATGAGGCCATCTGGAGGGTATATGAAAATTATTTCATGTGATATCAAACCAGTGTTTATGGGGGCAAAACAACTGGCTGATCCGAGTTTTGCATGGAAAGGACCTAAGGATGTGAAAAGCCCAATATCTGTGCCTGGAGTATTTCTGCATGCTTGTGAGGGCCCTGGCAGCTTTACTACATCTTCTGCTACTTCATTAGGGTGCACAGGGATAAATCTTTGTGGTATCTTTAGCATTGTACGCTACTGAATATCTGATGAACCTGCCTCCTTTCTATGGTTTTGAAGGGGGTAAACACTTGTGCCCAAATCCAGGTAAAGCTATTTGTGATCTAGGCAAATACTATTACTCCTAAATTCGACACTGATCAATGGGACTTCTACATAAGCATGCGATAAATGACATCCTAAGCCTCACAGAGATCGACAAAACAAAGGAGGCATGGTTTACTCTAATCATATTGCTTTCAGTGGAACAGAGCACAATTCAAAGCCTATTACTGAGTTTAGTGAGACAGTCTGGAAACTGGGTTTAAGACTGTGCTCTGTTCACATCTAGCTTTTAGACCCACTATCTAATGGGAGAAGTGTTCAATTTATTTTAACAGTAATTGGTTTGCCACTTGAAGAGGCATCTTTGGTTACAGATATACAGCTACAAAACAAGTCAGAACAGCATCACTGAAAACTTAGAGCTTCACAGTTAGGGAACACAAAAATTTGGACTGACATCCCAAACTGGTTAAAGATGTAACACTGAAAGAAAGGAAGGCATCTCTTCCACACTTCTTTTGACTATTATCCAAAGAAATGTTCAAATAACTAGCATACTCTAGGAGGATTTGGCCTCTGTTTCTTGACCTGCTGTCACAAAATACTTTCTTTTTGAAAAGGAGGAAACTGGAGAAATGTCTTATCTGAAGTAAAAAACATCCTTAGCTCTGCTGCCGAAGCACTTGCAATACCTAGAGTAGCTCTTTGGACTGTGGCCAGTCTCACATCCCCTACACCTGCTAGTTTGTTCTACTTCAGACTCGTAATTAAATTAATTAATTTCATTTCTATCAGCTTCATCACTCCTAATTAATTCAAGCAATAATCTGACAAGGAATGCTGCTGCCATTCTGTCACAGGGGAGCAGAGTCATGGTGGCAATGAATGAAATGTAAGTAAAGGAGCAGACGAACTCCAGTGCGGTGCTTTCTTCACCAGAAACTAATCTTCTTAATTCTCTGTAATACTTTCCAGAAGGTTTTGTTTTTCCTTAGAACAAATGAAGAATGCAATACACTCAGACAGTGCTTTTCCAGAGCTTGTTCTTGCAATACTAGACCAAAGGGAATTTTAAAAAACTGCAGAGACTACAAGGACATAGAACTGATCAGTCTATGTTACACGGGGCAAAATACTGCTGTATAAAGAAGACACAGTTCCAAGTCATCTTAGTGGACCACATGAAAAATGGGCCTTTTACCATGCTAGAGATGATAAAAAATGGAAACCTGTGAAAGAACCTGAAAGCACCGAAAATGAACTTGACAGAGTCTGTAGGAGGATGCTTGCCACTTTTGCATATACTCTGCCCATAAAAGGGGAACACATGGATTTGGCACATGGTTATGTATCCTCACATTTGAAAAACAGAGAATTATCAAGGAACTAACAAGTTATTCAGGAAACTGGGTAATTTAATTTAGTTGAATTTAAACATTTATATGCCCTCCTTTGCAGCAGCCTCAGGTTACTGTATTTCTTTAATCCCTTGTGTTGTGCTAGTCCTCTGCCTTTTACTCCATTTCATCTCCGGGGTGGAACCCACTAACCATTGGCAATCTTAATGGGCTGAAACAGGTACAATGCATCTAAGAGTCTATAGGAATTAGAAGCTGAATTTAAATGCATGGAAGGGGTGGGGTTGTTATTGTTGTTTTTAAGAAATGCTTGTTAAGTGGACAACACCCACATATATACATTTTAACAAGATTTTGCTCCAGTGACTTTTCTTCTGTTTTTTATTTTTGGTTTGGTCATTCAAGAACGATATATGCTGTACAGAGAAAATGAGTCATGCATACATTCCATCCATTTAAATCAATGTGACAAATCAGCTGTGGCTAATTTAAGTACTTTTGGTTTCAATTAAATTTAAGTAGGACCAACTTAAGCCAGACAGTGTCTATAAAACTAGAACATATAAATTCTGAAATCCCACACTTACTTATGAGGATAATCAGAAAGAGTGCATTTTACATTTAGAGCCACTTTGTCTACATGGCTAGATAATATTAATTTTTTTGCATCCTTTCCAGAGGCTGTAAGAGTGTCTGGATCAATAGATTTTATGAATTCCCACATTATGTTCCTGTCAGTACTCAAGAAGAAAGACGAGGAATGGGCCTGAGACTGGCAGAGGAAAGACCACTTGGTTCTTCTCTGCCTGCAGCCCCTTCACTTGCTTACATGGCATTCCATGTCCTCGCCTACATGCAGTTCCTTGGCCTGTGTGGTTTCCAGGCTGACACTCATATACAAGGCTGATATACAGTGGCACCTTGGCTCACAAAGGCCTTAGGTCACGAACAAAAACGTCATGAAAATTTTGACTTGGGTCACGAACCCTGCGTTGGGTGGTGACCAAGATCGCAGCCATCTCCCCCGCCCCCCCACTAAGTGGGGAGATGGCCACAATCGTGCTGGTTGTGGGGGGGGGAGATGGCCGAGATTGTGCCCATCTTTCCTGCAGGAGCGCGCCCATGCCAGGGTTTCTTTGAGAAGCACCACCCTAACATAAATGTAATGAACGGAGTGTTGAAGCTGATGAACAATAGCATAGTCTCTCATTTCCGGAGGGTTATGCAGCGCAGGAAAAAACAAGTGACTATAGACACTTTTTCACCAAAATTGACCCTGCAGCTAAGAGACAAAGAAGAGAGGAAACCCCTGAAGGAGATCTCCCCAATGTCCTTATGGAGGGGGACTCACCCTCAAAACAATAACCTCCCCCCCTACCTAGGTTAGTGTTCTCCACTGTACTGTACAGTACTTTGTTACTTTGTTGTTCTTTGTTACTTTGTTTCAAAATTTCTGATTTAAAAAAATAGTCACAGAACAGATTAACCTTATTTACACTGAACCTTATGGGGAAATTTGACTTGGGTCACAACCAGTTTGGGTCACAACCAGAGTTGTGGAATGGATTAAGTTCGGGAGCCAAGGTACCACTGTTTGTGGAACTAGCATTGTTCCTAATAGAAACAGAGTAGCTATAACGTTCTTTGGGAATCTGAGAGAAATATTAAAGAAATCTTTATGTACATTGTTTCTGAGCTATCATATCTCCTCTTACCCTTCAGGTTTCAATATGATCCAAAAACAGAGAAAATATTCTGGAGTGAATGGGGACCTGGGTGCATTATTCTGTAGTGCTTTTATCTTTGTAACTTACAACGACAATATTCTATAGTAAAATTCACAACTCATTGCTTGGCACAAGTAACACCATTGGTTCTTAGTAAGTTAAACAAAACAAAGTTTACCTTTGCAGTCGAAAGACTAATAATATGCTGATCCTTTTCATTGGCAGCAATCTCTGTAATACTGAATAAATGCCCCATTAGCTTTCCCACTGGCTTGGTGTTGATATTAGGATGCCACAAACGAAGAATCTTATCATCTCCTATGGAAAAAAATGGGTCAGTGATTCATTCTGTCACTTGTGTGTGTGGAAAAGGCACTTCTCAACTAATAACTTGAAACTTGTATGTTTATTGATCTGCTTGCCTATCAATTACCAGCCTGTGGTGCAATAAGACTTAAGTCTGCATGTTTATTAACATTTCTTTATTTGAAGTATAACCTCCATCTATTTGCCATTATGATGTACAGTCTCCATCGTGCAGCCAGGAAAAGCTTTATGCTTGCTGGGGTCAATCGGAGCTATGGGTCTGCCACAAAGCAATCTTTGGGTTTTGAAATATTAGTATTTTCATTTGTTTTTGTGATTACAGTTTCAGTATCACATGAAAATTTCTAGCCACGTGGTCCAATTGGCCCAGGATGATTGCCTTATTTCTGCTGATACAACTACAGGAATGTACATTCCTGTAGTTGTATCAGCA